CTTTCCCCTGAGCATCTGATTGCTTGTCCATGCAGTAACAGAGCCCTGAAAGGCTTTTTAAGAGGCAAGGTCTTGAGAGACATTGAGAATCCACTGCTAACCACCTCTGCAAAGAGTTCCTGTGGGTACTCAGCTCTTTCTTAAGATGTAGTTGTTGAGCCCAAAGAGTAACCTTTCTTCCCCCAGCTGATGCCTCTCCTCCGAACTTCATCCCTTGCTCCCACTTTCCGACTTTCACAGGCTCCATCCTTCTGACCTTGGATGCCCCTGTCCACCCAAAGGAAGTGCCCTTCCTTCCTCTCTGCACACAGTCTCCTATCCCATGGGATATGCAGGCTGGGAAGCTGAAGACCTGTAAAGTACTGGGTCCCAGCAAGGACCCTGGGAGAGGGCATAAAGAATGAAACCTGAACTCAATAAGGACACAGAGGCAAGGATCTTTAACTGTGTTAGAAACTGCAGGGACCACTTAAGATCAAAGAAGCCTTGGTTTAGGGGTTTTCAGCCCAGAAAGGAGGATGCCACCTGAGCACCCACAGCCACACAATGCAGCAAGGAGGCAGGATTAGTCCTAGCAGGCCTGGGGTTTTTAACTGGCATGTGCACAGCCCTGAATGTGCCCGTCCCTTAGGGTGCCACCTTGCTGGGAGAGATATGCAATGAATAAGTCAGGAGCTTATTAAAGCATATTCACAGCAGATCACTCCCCTTGGAAAACTTGGCTATTGAGTGATATTGCTGCTTCACAGGGCCACTCAAGCACTAACCCAGGCCTTGTTTAATAAACTATTCTTGGTTTATAATAAGCAATAGCCAAAACTTTAAAAACCTCTGTGCTACAGGCACTCAGAAGGGTAGCATCTCTGCTGGAGAGGAAGGTATAGCCGAAAAATGAGGATAAGGATCTCCTCTATGCCATTTCAGACCTCTACGATCCAAGCACCTTCACAGGTGGGGTTCTGGTGATCTTTGAGACCACAGGAGTACAACCATCCCAGCTCTCTGTCTCCTAGCCTAGAGAATACACGCATCAAAGCCGATAACCTCCCTCTGCCACTCATTTCTTAATGCCTCCCTGGTTCTGTCTTCTAGGTATAACAAGTGGGGAATATTTGATGGATAGATGTTTGCACTGGCTAACAGACCATAAACTTGTGATTCTTGGAATCCACTGTCAAGGCCGGCCAGGCTATCACACCACGATAGGAGCACATTTCCTTCAGCCAGAGAGCAGAGAGGCTGGCCTGTCATTTCAGACAGATTTTGTGTTTATTGCTTTGTACCAGATGGATGGGTGGACAATCTTATAGTTGTGACCTAAATCAACATTATATATTAAATTCAGCCCTTGGATGGGCACTCAATCTTTAAGTGGCAGCATTACAAAGACAATGCTCCGAGGGAGGAAAAAGAAAACATGAGAGCTTTTCATTCTGCACTTATGCCTCTTTTCTCCAGAGTCTTACCTGCTGGGGTCCGCTCAGCCTCTCAAAACTGTGACTTTTCCAGTGAGAGCTGGAACCAACAGTTGACAGAAATACCGTCCCCAGTCATCTCCTTGGTCAGCACACCTCGACCTGTTTCAGCATTGCCTCCTCTAACAGGTGTCTGAGAGAGCCAGAAGTCAGTTCTGATTTACAGCCCTGTGCTGATCAGCTGCCGAGCCTAAGATAGGAGAACAGGGAAACGTGTGTTTCACCACGCTCTTAAAACAGAAATACTTAATTCTATAAAAGGAAAAGCTATATATAAAAATACATAGAATGCCAAAACTAACAAAGTAATTAATTGAGACAAGGTCATGCCTGTAGTCTCCCTCCTCTCTCCAGACAGCACAGTGGGACAGCTGAGCAGGCTGAGAGACAAATGAGGGAGAAATTGAGAGAAATACTTAAAAGCAATGGCTGATCTAGAGCACATGGGTGAAGCAAGTTGTTTCCTCTTTCAGAATATGCAAGAAAGGCAATACTTAAGGAAAGTCAAAGCTGATAACATTTAAGACTTAAAAGGGAACGGGTAAAAAGATGCCAGACTACACAATCTCCCCTCAAACGCTTTTCCACAAAATACCACTGAGACCAAGGAATTAGGAAGATCCAAAAACCAAAGAATAAAAGCACTGTGTGTTCGTAGGAACGAGAACATACTTGACTGGACTGCAAATGGCCAAAGTATGAAGAATGCAGAAATTCACAATTCAAGAAGTCAGCGTAGCGTAGCAGAGAGCCTGACTCGCAGCAATGGCAAGCACTCTGGGCCACCAGCATCAGCAGGAGCCGTGGAGCAGCAGCTCTCCTGCCAACGCTGCTGCTGCCTCCTGGGAAGCCTAAGGCAGGCACGAGGGGAACTGCTGTCCCCAGGGGAGCCTCCTCTGCCACTGCTGCTCCCTTGGGAGGCTCTCAGTAACAGTGCAGTCTGGCCAAAAGCATGCCCAGGGTCTTTATAAGCCCGGGCTCAGCAGGAGAACCGAGGTACAGACAGCACACGATCTCTCTCATTCTGGGCCCAAGAGTAGCTGGCACCCAATTTTCTACTCATCCAAGCAAGGAAGAATGACTTTAAGAACTGGCATGAATCTGAGAGGCAGCTGAAGGGATATAGCGTCACTGTTTCAATCATATCCCACTACTGGTTTTCTCTGCTCAATAAAGCTCCCAGGGAAGTCTGATGCTTTTCTTCTGACCTGGTGAACTATCACCAGGTGCACAAAAATCAGAAATTTCCCAGTGGCAAAAACAATGACAGAAAAGGCAGCAGTGTCTTTACAAATAGCATTTAAATAAATAAATAAATAATGCAACCAG